GGCCTTCTGATGTGTTATCATGCACTCGCTCTGGTGCACTTCAATGATTTGTTTGATCATGTTGTGCCACCCTCTGTCATATAACTGAACACTCGGTAAAATATATTTTCCTTGCGCACAACTCCTAGGCACTTTCTAACGGTTCAGAAAGCCTTTCGTTAGATTGGTCTCAAGAAAATTGATGTGCATTTTTTACCATGAACAATGAAATACTGTGCTTCTCAAGGATTTACAACATACCACACCTACCTATAGCTTTGACGTAAGAAACCCGCGGAAGATTCCTCATAATGTTGCCGAACTGGAAAATCATGGCGATTAGGGCATTGACGCCAAGCATTGTGCGAGCTGGCATTGCTTGAGATCCCAAGGAGAAAGAAATCCAACTGGAAAAAAAGGTTTATAAATTGACTATTTCAAAGCTGTAATAAGCTCTGTAAGTTACCTAATGAATATGGTCAAGTATGTTGGTAAGTACGCTTGCATAAAATACCATATAAATCTTCTTTTAAACATAATGTGCATGTGCAACTCATCCCACATTCCGGCTGGATAAGGCTATAATCAGCAATGGTTTCACATTTCAATTCATTATACTAGTTCTATAAATGGTATAGATTTAAAGGTAAGAATACCATATAGAAAATTATAAATCGAAGCGCACTATACAATACAGAATCAATGATTTTGCATCAAGACAACGTGAAAGTGGAAAATTTCAAGGGTAAGGATAAAGTGGCTATGTATATACCCCATTGCATAACAGATAGCCTTTCATCGAAAAAATCCCAAATCATGAACATTAGAATCACCGTAACGTATCAGGAAATAGCGACTGAGAAAGGAGGAATTTACGACAGGAGAGGTAGTACGGGAGAGGGTTGAGCCATTGTTCCGTAATTTGAGACTTTTATGAAACGAATTCTGGAATTAATTTGAAGACATTTTGGGCCTAACGTAGGGAAATAACATGTAACGATAGCGTAGATACTAAGTATTTCTGTCATTTCCAACAAAAGATATTCTTCGAACTAGCTATTCAATGGTGCGCACTGGTAGATGCACCTCCAAGTTTAAAATCTGTCTTCCCTAGCATACGATTCTCTTGGAGAATTTATGTACTCAATCAAAAATAGTTCACGAAACATATCAAAAATGCTTAGAAGTCCAATTTCGAGCTTTAATTTCAAAGTTGAATAAGTATCAAGGTTTTATCGTAAGATTTCTTTGTTCTAGGATAATGTAAATATATGGTGATTACTGTTTCATCGTGAAGGATATTTTCAGTAAAATTTCCATAACTTTTTACAGGAGAATATTTGGCAGATACGGAAGGCAGTTTCAGCAGCTTCTACCAAGGATACTTTCTCGATTCGCTTATTCGACTAAGTATCTT